ATTTCCAACTTATATTTCGTCTCGTCTTCTTTTGTCTCTACTGTAATTGGATTGTTTCCTCTCTCTGCTGTCCCTGTTTTTTCCATCTTCCTTTTCCATCTTTTCTTCGAAGGCCAACATATTGGCAGCAACTTGGTTTTTTAACGAAGATATTTTATTGTCGAGGGCAGACATCTCAGAAGTGATTTTAGAGATTTCCAAAGAGATGTTATCAGAAACTTGGCTTTCCAGAGAAGAAATCTCGTTAGAATCTTTGTCTTCTAAAGAAGCGAAGTCGACGGAAACTTTCGAAATATCACCAGAAACTTTGTTCTCTAATGATGCGATTTCACCAGAAACTTTCAAAATATCGCCAGAGACTTTGTGTTCTAATGATGCGATGTCATCAGAAACTTTCGAAATATCACCAGAAACTTTGTTCTCTACCAGAAACTTTCAAGATCGACGAGATGACAGCAGCATGTTTGTCTTCAAATATATCAGTTTCCGGGCCCAAACCCTCTTCCTTTAAAGAGTTCTTTAGTCGTTGGACTAAATCAGCCTTTGTTCCGGAGAAGGTAACTCTCTGTCCTGCAGATGTCTTCTTAAATTCGTAACTGTGTGCGCTGTAGTTAATTTATTAACTTTATTTATTATAAAATGTTCTAACACTTAGTTTATTGGAGTCTTTATTTATTTAATTTATATATAATCTTATACTAATTTATTTTTCACTGACACTAATCTAATTTATATAATTTATTTACTACATTTATTTCCAACTACCTCCGCGTTACAATTCAACTTCGACTTGATACAATTATTCTTTTTAAACTAACTGTTTACAATAAAAAGTTCTCTTCTTCTTCTTCTTTTGGCATCGTATTTCCAGCGGTCTATGCGGGTCTATGTCTCAGCGGCTATGTCCTTCCATTCAGATCTCTCGTGTGCCCTTCTTCTCCATTGTCTTATGTTCATTGTTTTCAGGTCGTCTTCCACGTCATCCAACCATCTCGTTCTGGGCCTTCCTTTTTTTCGCCTTCCTATGGGCTTCCATTGTAACATTTTCTTTGTTGTTTTTGCATCGTTTTGTCTCTGCACATGTCCCAGCCATGACAGTCTTTGACTTTTCACAAATCTTACAATGTTATAACCTTCATTTAACTCATTAACCTCGTCGTTTCTCCTGATTCTCCATGTGCCATCTTCCTCTTGTACCGGGCCATATACTTTCCTGAGTATTTTCCTCTCGAATGTCCTGAGTTGGGCTTCATCTTTTTTCGTTTATTTTACATCCATAGGTTACTACGGGTCTAATCAGTGTTCTGTAGATAGTCATTTTGGTTCTTTTGTCTAATAATTTCGATGTCATCAATCTTTTATTAGCATAGTATGTACGATTCCCGCTGGAAATACGTGCATTAATTTCGCTACTTACGGAGTTCTTCTGATTGATTTCTGTGCCGAGATATGTAATTCTATTGTCTATTGTGATATTATTTTCATTGTTAGTTATTCTTTTGACTGTCATATACTTCTTTTTCGCTTCGTTTATTTTGAGACCTCTTTTTCTTGCTTCAGGATCAATGTGTTTGAACACTTCCATTAGTCGTGGCTTATTCCTACTAATGATGGCTACATCGTCTGCATATGCAGTAATTTGTACTGATTTGGTGTTTATATGGCCGGTTATATTGGTTTTTCTGATGACTGCTTCAAGAACTAGGTTGAATAGCATGGTTGATAGGACATCTCCCTGTCTTACTCCCATGTTGATGTTAAACAGGGGAGTCAGTTCTCCATCTACTCTGACTGCGGCTTTTGAACCCTGCAACGTCATTTTTATGAGGCTGATGTATTTCTTAGGTATATCTAGAATACAAAGGTCTTCCAGCATTCTGTGTCTTTTCACACTATCAAAAGCTTGTTTTTCAAAAAGTTCTCTATGATATGTTTAATAACTAGTATCTGGAGTTCCCTAGAATCGGCCGGTGACCCTTCCTGAACCTTTTCGAATCCCATGGAAGCCAGACAGGTTTCAGCAGACGGGAGCTGTGGATATTACCTACTACGCTTCTTCCTTCTAGTATGTAGGCTTTAAAGCCTGTTTCTTCTTCAATGTTAGCCTCCTAAATTATCGCACCATCTTTTTCTTGGTCTGCCAATACTTCTTCGTCCATTTGGTGACTTATCTCGTGCTATTCGTACTATTCTATCCTCTGCCATTCTACTGATATGTTCGCTCCACTCCTGTTTTCGTTTTGTCACGCATCCATTTATGTCTTCTATATTGCATGCTCTAATGTTTTCGCTTCTCTCCCTATCCAATAGACTTCTCCCTGATATTCGTCGGAGTATTTTCATCTCTGTTATTTCTAGCAGTCGTCTCGTTTTAGATGTGTCAGGTCTTGTCTCCGCCGTGTATGTTAATATAGGTCTAATTGCTGCTTTATAGATTCTTCTTTTTGTGTCTTGTCTTTGTTCTTGTGTTTGTTTGTTCTTCCAGATTATGTCATTAAGACAACCCGCCGCTTTACTTGCTTTTAAGCTTTGTTGTCGTACTTCTTCTTCAACATCTCCGGAACTATTTATATATATTCCCAGATATCTAAACCATGCTTCCTGCTTTATGATTTTCCCATCAATTTCGATTTTACACGGTAGTGGTTATTTAGATGTTGTCATACATTTGGTTTTGTCTGCAGATATTATCATATTGTATTTCTTAGCTGTTGTATTAAAGATATGTGTTAATCTTTGGAGCTCGTCTTCTGTCTCTGCGATTAATGCAGCGTCGTCTGCATAACATAATATTTGGATTTCTTTGTTCCCCATTCTGTAGTCATGACCTTTAAGTACTGCTTGTATTATTTCGTCCATTATTATATTAAAGAGAAGTGGGCTCAACGAGTCACCCTATCTGACTCCGCTTTGTACTGGTATACACTGTGTTAGTTTTCCATTTTTTTTGCCTGTATTCGATTTTGGAGGTAGATGTTTTCGATGGTTTGTATAATGTTGATTTGTATGTTTCTTTTATACAGTAGGTGTAAGACGTCTTCGACTTGAATGCGATCGAAAGCCTTTGTCAGGTCAATAAAACATATATATGCTGGTTTATTGGACTCGATGGCCTTTTCTGTGAATTGTCTTAGTACAAATACGGCGTCTTCGCAGGATCTTCCGGATCTGAATCCTTGTTGTTCATCTGTTGCTAGTTTATTGATTTTATTGGTTAGGACTTTTGTGGTAATCTTAAGTGCGGTGTTCAGTAGATTTATACCTCTATAATTGTTGGGGTCTTCTTTATCTCCTTTCTTGAACATTGGTATCATTATGCCGTTTCTCCATGCGTCTGGTATCTTGCAGTGCAATATTAGTTTTTGTATAAGTTTTGTCATCTCTAGGGTTATACTTTCTACTCCGTATTTTAGAAGCTCGTTGGTTATTCCGTCTGGTCTTGGCGACTTTCTATTTTTGAGCGAATTTATGGCTATTTCTACTTCCTGAAAACTGATTTCTATTACGTGTTTTAATTCAGGTACGTTATTGTGTTGATTATTATTTTCCTTTGCTTTAAACAGTTTCATCAGGTATCTTTCCCATTCGTTTGCTGGAATGTTATTGTATTTCTTCAATTCTGCATTTCTCTTCGTTGGTTTCTTATAAATCTCCATATTTGTTTTTGTGTACCGTAGAAGTCGCTTTCCGTCCTTTTTGTAAACTGTTCCCAGTGTTCATTTTTTGTTCTTCTTATCAACTGCTTTGTTTCATTTCGTATTCTTCTATAGTTGTCTCTAGATTCTGGGGTGTTTGATGTTTTGTACTTCATGTAGGCCTCTCGTTTCTCTTTACATTTCTCTTTTATTTCTTTTCTGAACTATGGCACACGTTAACTTTTAAATTTAAATGTGCGCTTTTTAAAAATAAGTTTAAATGTACAGGGTGATCCACGCAAGTCTGGCATATTCCATAATCCTTATTTTTAATGAAACACCCTGTATATTTTTATGTTTTTAAAATAATTTTAACAACCTGATTTCAATAAACTATATCATGTAGGGTCTATAATGAATAATACAAGGTGAAATTTTGAAATTAATAATTTATCACGTGTTATGGTATTATTTTAAATTAGCTAAATACAGACAATAGACTTCTACTCTAAGTGTCAGTACACTATATATTGGGGAAAATTTCTGTTTAGTAACCGTGTTAACATTTTTTGTCGTGAATAGGTAAAAACTGTATAGATAGTCTGCTAATTAAACTAAATCGGTAAATAATGCGGATTGTTATCAATCAGTTGACATGCTGTGGACATTTTCCATTAAAATAATAAATTCTTAATTAAAAACTAATTTCTTGCAGAAATAAAAATGAAATATTTAACTAACGCCCGCCGAATTGAGATTTTAATGATGATCGGTTACGGGGAGAATTGTAGAAGTCAAGTTGAAGTAGTAAACTTACTACTATTTAATCAGAGGTATCCTCAGTTGCCTAATATTTCACAAGGTACTGTGTCTAAAATTTATGCACAATTCAGAGAACTTCTACATGTCAAACCATTAAAAAGAAAATCGAACTTCATTGAAGATGAAGTGAAAGTGGATATTTTGTTAAGTGTCGCAGAGAATCCAACGTCAAGTTCACGTCAAATTGCACGTCAAATTGCACATCAAAATAATGTGAGTCACACAACTGTCCTAAGGTGTCTCCATGAAGAAAACTTCATTCATATAAATTGACATTTGTGCAGGAGCTAACAGAAGATTTACATTGTAAGACAGAGAACTAAAATTAAAATACAAGATGTTCGAGTAGCCAGAGGGCCATCATGTGGCACCGATCATCATTTTCTAAAAGTTAAAACGATACTCCCAAACAGATACGAAAAAGAAAAAGAGCACATCGAGTCAAATCAGTTAATAAAACAAATACGGTACAACCTAGACAGTTTAAACCATGAGAGTGTAAAGCTACTGTATACAAAAAACCGATTAGACCAGAAATTATAAATGGGTAATTTTGAAAATACCGAAGAACACTACGAACACATCAAAAGGTCTCATTTAGCAGCAGAAGAAGCACTGGGGAAATGTGACGAAAATCATAAAGGTATAAAACCGTACTGGTGGGATGAAGAAATAGAGAGGGAAATTAAAGATAAACGTCGGAAATACCAAACATTCTTAACAACAAAAACAGAAAACGATAAAACACTTTACAAAGAAGCACAAGCCAAAGTAAGAAAAAAGATAACTCAAAAAAAGAACGAATCATGGGAACAGAAGTGCCAAAAGATCAACACCTACATAGGAGGTAGAAGAAGCACAGAGAGTTGGAGATTGTTTAAAAGTATGAGAAATAATAAGAAAAAAGACGTTATATCACCAATAACAACAGAAAATGGAAAGAATATTTCAAAAAATTACTAACAGAATAAAGATCAGAATTTGCTAACATGGAAGACAACACGATACGTATACGTATAAATTCATCACCATTACGAATCAGTAAATCAGAGATGGAAGAAATAACCAAATCCCTGAAAAATTAAAAATCCCCTGGTCCCGGTGACATCCCTGCAGAATTAGTGAAAGCCGGTACAGACAAACTCCAGGAACAGTTAAGAAAACTCTTTCAAGACTGCTTGAATGGGGCCGAATTACCAAAAGAGTGGAAATTATCTATCATGTCAACTATCCACAAAAAGGCAGCAAGGATCAGTGTGAAAATTACAGAGGAATTGCGGTAAACAGCACAATAAGTAGGATGTATGGGAAACTTATTAAGAACAAAATAGAAAATGACTATAGAGATTACGAAGCAGAGGAACAAGCTGGTTTTAGAGCTGGGCGATCCACAGTAGACCACCTGTACTCTATTACGCAAGTTATTGGAAAAAAAACAGCAGTCAATAAAGAAGTTCCCTGATGTACGTAGACTTACAAAAAGCATATGACAGTGTACCCCTAAGTAAACTATGGTCAACCCTACAGCAAACCAACATTAAGCATGGTCTTATCAAAGCAGTCCAAAGTCTGTATAATGAAACGACTAAGAAAATTAAAACTGGATCAAGGATATCTGAAGGATTTAAGGTCTCGAAAGGACTAAAGCAGGTTGCTGTATTTCGCCTACTCTTTTCAAAATTTATCTGGAACAAACACTCAAGCTGTGGAAAAGAAAATGTAATGGCATGGGAATCCCTCTCAATGACGAAACTACACTGTACACCTTATGTTTCGCTTATGACCAAATACTGATTTCTCAGGATCATGACGACTTGAGTTACATGACTCGGAAGCTAATAGAAGAATATAACAAATGGGGTCTCGAAGTCAACATTAAGAAAACTGAAGCCATGTGTATTGGAGGGACAAAACAGTCCATTATATTAGACGATGGGGTAGAAATTAGAAACTGTGATAAATACAAGTACCTGTGTATGAAGATAACTCAAGATGGAACACTCGATGCTGCTATAAAAAACAGAAACATACAGGGTAGAAAAGCCATATTCATGATGAACGGGATTCTGTGGGACCAAACAATATCTAAAGCGAATAAACAACTCATATACAACACCATACTTAAAAGTGTAATCACATATGGCAGTGAAGTTTAGCCAATGAAACAAAGAACAGAGAAACTGTTACTAGCAACAGAAATGGACTTCTGGAGAAGAGCAGCAGGAAAATCAAGAAGAGATCGGATACCAAATGAGAGAATACGAGAAATGATGTGAGTCAAGCATACAATAGTTGATGACATAAAAACAAAACAGCTAATATGGTACAGCCATGTACAGAGAATGCCAGATGACAGGATTCCAAAACAGATTTTGACGTGGACACCACAAGGAAGAAGGAAAAGAGGAAGGCCGAGAAAAAGCTGGAGAGAGGGAATTGAAAAAGAACTAGAGGAAAGAGAAATCCCTCCAGGCCTATGGCTGAATAGAGAAGAATGGCGATTAGGAGTCGGAAGGCGTCGGAGAACGCTGTAAACCGATAGTAGTAGTAGCTAACAGAAGACGACCCGGATCGTAGAATGGATTTCTGCAAAAGAATGATGGATAAAATTAACAGATGAAATAGCTCTTGGCACAATTATTTTTTCTGATGAATCAAAATTTAGATTGAACGGAGAGGTAAACTGACAAGATATTGGTCAGCGGAGAATCATCATTGGATGCGTGAGACACACACTCAGTATCCTCAAAAGTTGAATGTTTGGGCAGGTATTATAGGAGATCATATTATTGGTCCTGTATTTATAGATGAGACTGATAATACAGGGAAAGATTCAAGGAAGAAGATCTGTTGGCCGAAGGCAGAACTCATGATTAAAGAATCTACGTGATTGGTACCAATGCAGATCGATTGATTTGTTTAGAGCAGCAAGTTCTAAAATAAGAATAGCCATTATGATTGCCAACCTCCGTAGGGAGACGGCACTCTAAGAAGAAGAATTTATAGATGATAATTTGACAGCGAAAAAATATTTAAGCATGCTAAGAGACGATGTTTTTCCTTAGTTGGCTAACTTATATCCCAATGCAATAGATCCGACCCTACCGCATGAAACTGTCTGGTTCCAGCAGGACGGTGCAACACCCCATTATGCTTTAGTGGTGAGAAATTACTTGAATGAGATCTTCTTCAATAAGTGGATTTGATGAAGGGGACTAATGAGCGGCCAGCTAGGTCGACAGATCTTACGACTTTGGATTTTTTTTGTGGGTTATCTCAAGAACAAAGTATATGCAACACAATCAACTATCAGTGAAGACCTCAAAAAGTAAGGATAACTTCAGAAATACGGAATATTTCACCTCAAACTTTAAACAAAGTTCGGAACGAGTTTTATAGGAGACTGTGTTATTGCCAACAACAAGGTGGAGAACATATTGAGCATGTATTTTAATGTAATCCAATCAATTACCTCGGGTATTCTATGAATTCATTGTCTTAAAGAACATACCTAATTTCAAAATTTTACCTTGTATTATTCATAATAGACCCTACATGATATAGTTCGTTAAAGTCAGGTTGTTAAGGAGCTTTTAAAAACATGAAAAATACAGGGTGTTTCGTTAAAATGCAGATTATGCACTATGCCAGACTTATTTTCTAAAATAAGGACACAAACAATTTTATTCCATAAGTGATTTCCAAACTGTATAATATATTGTTCTGAAGCTATTTTCTTGTGGCATTGTAAATTAATTACTATTAAACTGGGAATAAGCCACAATTAAAGATAAAAATACGTTTATTGACGTTTCAATTTACACTTCGGAAATCGTTCTCAAAATACAAAAACGTTTTGTATTTTGAGAACGATTTCCGAAGTGGAAATTGAAACGTCAATAAACGTATTTTTATCTTTAATTGTGGCTTATTCCCAGTTTAATAGTAATTAACGTATAATATACTCATATGTGTATATATATATATATATATATATACACATAGGCTGCACCATAATTGGTAGAATACGCTGATAATGATGATGATGATGATGATATATATATATATATATATATATATATATATATATATATATATATATATATATATATATATATATATATTATTTTTAAGTACTGTTCGTTGCCTAGAATTGCCGTAATTTTGAGATACAACTGTAATTTACACAGGTATACTCTATAAAACTATATATGTACAAAATCATACACAATTGTCCATATTCATTAAATTTATATCAAAATCCAGGTTTCGCTAATTCCAGTCCGAACTGTCTAGTGAATTTAGTAATTATTTTTTTGCGTTAAGTTAGTTACTTTTTGAAAATTGGACATCGTTGTTTGACAATTCGACAACGTTGTTTGAAAATTGGACATCAGTCTCGAAAATGTCGCAGTCAATTAAGTTGTTTAATTTGCTCTAAATCGAATGTACCTTTAATGTGCACTGAACTTTTAACCAACCGAGTAAAGCAGGATACAGAAGAGCAGAAAGAAAACGATAGCATTGCCGTGCCAAGAATGGAACAGACGCTCGCTAATAATGCTAGTATGGTTTTATGTTATTTGCTGTAGTTTTGTTTACTTTTGTGCCAATATTAATATTGTGAGCCATGTTTACTTTTGTAAAATGGTTCGGGTGGGAGGATGTCACAGCCATTTGATAATTATTTTGTTTGTATACCGCTTTGAACGTTGAAGTTACAAAATCTCTTATTGATATTCGTCGAAAGCTTTAGCTATACAACTTTTTTTTAAATCATAACAATCTTTCCACTTGTCGGCGGCAATCATTTTTATATTTTATCGCCATCACATCAATTTATTTTGTTTATTTTAACGCGAGAGTGGTGTAATAAAAATTGATGAGGTTTTCTCAGTTTTTTAAGACTCTTGGCGCTGAACGGTCGTTATATCCGTAGAATAATATTTTAATTTTGTGTATGTATGGATTGATCTTTATAAGTGGCAATTTTGTTACATCATTTTTTAAAGCACGCGATATGTTTTGTTGGAAACTGGCAAATACAGATTTTCAATAATTTTGAAGTTTAATTTTTGTAATATACGAACCGTGTATTTTATACGCAAATTCGGGTAGAGTTGCGTTGGTATACACTTGACAGAGATAAATGTTTTAAAAAGTACATTTTGAATACACTCTTTTATATTTTTAATTTATATGAAGCAGTAACGGGTAGATATTTGTCTCTTTTGAGATTAATTGCAAACATCTGTTAATCTGGCAATTACTGATTTGACGACAGCCCCTAATCTACCAAAGGGTAATTGCTAAAAAAATGTCTAATAATTAACTGCAATTAATCTACAAAGAAACAAATATTGCAACAAAACAAATTTCAAACATAATATAAACAAAATGTACTTTTCTAAAGCTTTATATTTTTATATTTGAAGCATACAGCATCTACATTATAAAAAACATGCCAACACTGCTATACCGAAATTTTTTGTTCTATGTTTGACATTTGCGGCTATAATCAGCTTGTACTTTCGGCAAACTCAACCTTTTTATATCCATGTTATTATATTAGGCAACCATCAATACATCCCATCATTTTATTCAGAATTAGGCAACCATATATACATTTATTCCAATCTAGGGATATTTTAATGTTCAATTTAGGGAGGACAAAAATTTTCACCTGGCAACACTGGTCAGTGTCAATAATCAGCTGTCTGTGTCTGTCACACTGTTTGTTTTGAATGGACCACAGGAGTGATGACGTAGAT